CATACACTAAATGGTCAATGATTATAAACAAAGTTTCCATATATGAAGTCTTTATTTTAGGAATGATTTTAGATTCGTGTACAGTCATCGTTGACGTGTCAATAAGGACTCCACATAGACGTTCCACTTGTCGAGCTCTGGTGATCCGAGTATCCTTTATTATATTAAAGGATATAATGGGACAAATGTAGTGTTCCTTTTTTTTTTTTGTTTTCAAATGCGAAACTGGAGAACACAATTTGGTTGAATTGCAGAGAAGAAATTAAATTTATGGAGAGAAGAAGGATTTGGAGCAACGGAGAGGAGAATGATGACGACGGGATAAAGAAAGGGCCGTGAAAAGCGGAGGAAGACCAGGTGCTCCAAGAAACGATTTGGAGCACGGCAGCACGCGATGTAATGGCAACAATTAACCTATTAAGTCGCGAGTCTAGGCGTGTTGAGAGTGGGGTGGGGTGAGGAAGAAGAAGACATAGACGAAGAAGAAGAAGAAGAAATGAGTGAAAGAAGAAGAAAATAAGGGAATGGAAGGAAAAGAAAACGAAAAAAATAAATGGGGTCAAATTAAAAATTTTAAATTATATAAAATTTTAATTTAGCCCAAATATCCTTAAGCTAACATGAAACGGGTAAATGGACTTTTAGTGAAAAGAATCAAACGATTATGTAAGTTTAGAAATTTTTGTGAAAAGATTTGAAGTTTAGGTACCACTTTAAATTTCCAGTGAAAAGTTCAAGTATCATTACTAAATTTACTCTGAATATTTTATGCCAAGCTTTAAGTCATTAACTTGAGTCAATCCGGATCACCCTTGACCCAGTTGCTAGTTAGTTTTGACGTTTGATCCGATTTTCAAAATATTCTCGAATATCTATACCTAATAATAAATATTCAAATTATTATAAGGATAATGATAAAATGTTGAAATCCTTACTAGCGCTAACAACGTCAAATACATAAAAAAACTACTATATAAATAATAAAAACTTGACAAAAAATACAAATTTATAATCGACTAAGTACTTTGTGGAAGTAATGAGGCAAGTATTAATGTAAAACGGGTTGGATAAAATATTATAAATGTTAAAATAATTAATTTCGTATTTAGATAAATGAATATTTGAATAAAATGATTATCTAAGTGAGAGTATATTCGGATCGAATTTTAAACAGATATCGAATTATCAAATCCGTATTCATTTAGGCTTTTGTTCCGTACACCTGATCTGATTGAATCTAAACTGGATTTTTTAAGTTTTGATCTGATCTGGTTTGATTGGGTCTGATCTGATTTGGTTGGATCTGATCTGATTGGCTCTAATATGATCGGATTCAATCTGATCTGATTGGATCTGATCTAATATGGTTGGATATGATTTTTTTGTAACTAGATCTGGTGTAAATGAATTTTAAATTTGATTTAAATTAAATTTAAAATTATTACAAAATTTTAGTTAAAATAACCAAATATTGGAAAATATGGATACTATTCTACAAAAATATCATATTCTGTATGCATGTTACATAATAATATATTTCATATTACAAATTAAAGATCATATAAAATTTTAAGCACTAAAATCTTTTTCAACTCTATCAATTTTGTCATAAACTCATCATTGTGTGTATAATTATATATAATCTTAAAGTTTAAAAGTAAGGCTTTTTAAGTATAAAATATTTATTATTTTATTGAAACCTAAGTTTTTTATAATTAGTTTATAAACAAGTATTTAAAATAACTCTTTTTTAAAGTATGAAAAATACATCTTTTAAGCTTTAACATTGATTCCATGCATCATCTTATAAGCTAAGTAATTATTAAAAATGATGGTTTGTAGTTGAAATATAATACGAGTAATAATAATAATAATATAACAATAATAACAATTAAAATCATAATATTAATTAAGATTTAGGTGTGTGTAGTTTTAAATAAAATAATGTGATTTTATCAAATGTTAGTAATTACTCCATCTGTCCCAGAGTATTCGTCCAGTTTTGACTTTTGGAACTGATCATCTAAGTACTTTGACTCATCAAATTCTCTCAATGTGTAAGCTTAAATATAGTCATATGTAATCTTGTTTGATTTATCTTAACATATATATTATTAATATATAATTTCTATAATTTTTTAATATACAAATTACAAGATAAAATGAATTGAAGAAATGTATTGGATGATGTGTAAAAATGAAAGTGGACAAATACTCTGGGACGGAGGTAGTATTATTTAATGCTTGAAAAATATAAATAATATTTTTATATTTTTCTTGATTTGATATTACAGAGTATTAGATTTGATCTGGTCTGATTTGATCTGATTAGATTTGGTCTGATCTGATTCTATATGATCTGATCTGATTAAGGGGCTGTTTGACAACTTCTGAATAGGCAATTGCTGAACGAGTAAGAGGTCTGAACCATTAAGTGCTGAACCAGTAAGAGGTTTGAACAATTAAAAGATAGTATATTGCTTAACTATTCAGAGGCAAATGTCTGATCAATTCAGATAAGAGGTCTTAACCATTCAGACTCTGTATAATACTTAACCATTCGAAGGCAAATCTCTTAACCATTCAGATATCTGAACCATTAAGAAGCTGAAACAAAGAGTCTGAACCATTAAGTACTGAACCATTCAAACATCTAAACCATTAAGAGGCTGAAACAAACAGACTCTAAGTCTGATATGATCTGAGTTTAATAAGAATAAATAATAAGTAAAAAAACTCCCTTCGTCAATTAAAATTTCTCACTTTCCCTTTTCGTCCATCCACAAATAAATTTTCCGTTTCCTTTTTTGAAAACTTTTTAATGCCAAAAAAACATCACTACCCTCACCATACTCTTTTACTTGCTCCCTATTTTTTTCCTTCTTCCTCTAATTCTCTCTCTCTCTTCTAGTCATCTCTTTTTTCTTTCTTCTTTTCCTTTTTGATCCACCTACTCCCTCTACAATTTTTTTCTCTATATTCTTTTTCTTCAGTTCCTCGTTTTGTTCTTTTTGTCGTCTTTCTCTTCTTCTATTTTTTCTTCTTTTTTGTTATTTTCTCTTTTCTTCTTCTTTCATCCACCCTCTTTGGATTTGTCCCATCACGTACGAGCAGCAAAATAGTCAGGCGGTGGTCGGAGGTGCCCAACGGACAGATCTGCCCCTCTTCCGACATAGCCGTCATCGATTCCATAGATCTACAAAATCTCCATTACCCCTAGCCTCGCCTCTCTCGGTCAAAACTCGAATATTAAACAGATCTAGAACAAATCTAGGAGGGAGGGGGATTATGGAGGGGATGGCGGCAAAGACGATGAATTGTCGGTGGTGAGGTTGGCAATTAAAGTGGGCTTACTGTAGATCTAAAGTTGCAGGGGATGGGACATGGGTATAATAGAAAAGTCAAAGCAAATTTTGTCACACATTAATATGTGTGCCCGGTCAAACCGGTAAGTTCTTCTATGGATAGAGGGCGTAAGTCATACGGAACAACTCTTAGGGCCTGTTCTTTAGGACTGGAAAAAAAGAACTGGAAACTGGAAGAAAATGGAAGAAATTGGAAGAAACTGGAAGAAACTGGAAGGAACTGGAAGAACTGGAAGAAACTGAAGAAACAGGAAGAAACTGGAAGAAACTGGAAGGAACTGGAAGAAACTGGAAAAACTGAAAAAAATTAAAAAAAAAATTAAAAGAAATTGAAAAAACTAGAATAAATTGTAAAATCTAAAAAAAGTTTTTAAAAATTTTTTGTGTGTGGTTTTAAATTATTCTCATTCTGATTCTTATTGATATAAATTATTATTACTATTATTATTATAATTATAATTATTATTATTATTATTGTTGGTGGTGGTGGTGGTAGTGGTGGTGTTATCACGTTATCCAAATGATTGTCTTTAAAATAAAAAAATATTACGAATATTATTTTTTATACATAAAAAGATATTTTAAAAAATTAATTAGAATGCAAAATTAGCACAAATATCAAAATGTTAAATAGTTAAGAGTTATTATGGCTATGCTGTATTTATTATAAAGTAATATCTTTGTAATTACATTTTATACATTGCAAGATTTTGTTTTAAATATCTGACATGTCACATAATGTAATCAAACTTATTTTTCTTTAAGGATTGACAATTTATTTCTACTGTAACCCTATTTTTTGAATAAAAATATGGACTGGTATTATTCATATTAAAAAGTTGAAGAAAAAAAATAATGAATGTAAATCATAAAAACAGTGAGATGAAAAAATTAAATAATTTATAAACTATAGTTATGAACATAAAAGTTGTAATTAAAAAATTGTAATAATAATAATAATTATAATAATAATATATTTTTTAGAGTTATTTGTCAAAGGGTAGAAAGAATTTGAAGAAAATAAATATAGTTGGAAGAAATTAGAAGAAACTGGAAGAAACTGGAAAAAACTGGAAGAAACTGGAAGGAACTGGAAAGAATTGGAAGAAATTGGAAGAAACTGGAAGGAACTGGGAAGAATTGGAAGGAACTGGAAAAAACTGGAAGAACTAGAAGAAACTGGAAGAAACTGGAAGAAACTGGAAAGAACTGGAAAGAACTAGAAGTTAAGAGTTCAAATCCTAAAGAACAGGCCCTTAGTATTGGATATTTTTAACCGAAGAAAGATAATACCCATTTAAAACATATACTAATTATTCGTGTTTAAAGGGATACTCTAATACATATACTCCGTACTCTAGAATCTATATGAGGAATTTACTCAAATAACTCTAAAACATACTCCGTAATAACTTTTCCTAAATAGTATCAGGCGTCTTTTTTCGTAATATAGCAATTTTAATTATTATGCATTAGTCATTATTCAAGTAAATAACTAGACATTATATAAATTACTCCGTATTAAATTCATTTAAGAAATAAACTAATTTAAATACGGAGTATACTTAACAAATGAGTTATGTTTTCGTCATTTCATTTCATCTATATATCTGATCCAGCTGCGGCCCGCTCATTGGAGAAAACCATTCGCTCATCTCGTCCAGTCAAATAAACCATCTCCGTCTTCATCCTTTCCACGGCCAGTCATAGCATGAAATCGGTTTGTTAATACTCTATAGATCTGTCCACGCTGTTGTTCGCCATCGCAGGAAACGAAGGGCTCAACTTTCTCATCAAATAAACCATCTCTGCTTTCGTATTCTCCATTGTTTGAATTTCTAGCATGAAATCGGCCGACAGGACTAAATAAACATGTCGGCCTACTCTAATCCCTTTTTTGAGAATCATGATTTATTTATTAATTTTGGTTTAGATTAAACGGCCATTGCTGAAGATGTTATTGATTCTCTCTCTCTCTCTCTTGCTGCTCTTCTTTCAGGTACGCGTAAGCAAGAGCCAAAATATGAGTCCGAGGAGAAGGTAACAGTCCCGTTCCTCTCGTTCCTTGAGAACAATTTTTTTACACTCTGTGTAAATGGCTACTCGTAACAGACTCTGAAGAAACCAAAGGAACGCTCTGAGGAGGAGGAGGAGAAGGTAACCGTCCGATTCTTCTTCTTTGAGAACAGTTTTCTTTATATTCTCTTAGTTCTAATGGCTACTTGTAACAGGTGACAACACAAAGATTTGCGGATAATCTCCTCCCAGAGGTTGAAGGAAGGGTCGATTTGTTGGAGACAAAGTCTGAGGCTAATTTAATTCCCGACATGGTATGATTTTTGTATTTTAAAATACTCCGTATTGTATTGGTCGTCAGATATTCAATTGAGCATCTTTTTCTGTCCATCGTGTGTTCCAATGGGGCTACTCATCATGTAACAGGAGACAGTGGAAGGACTTGATGAAACTCCCCAATTTGTTGAGGTGCCTGTTCTTATCATCTCTTCATATAACCCTGTTTATGTTTAGCTTTAGTGCCACCACAAAGATGACTCATTACAGGGATGAATCTGCAGGTGGTGCTACTTTTTGCTACTATGCCGTTCAAGTCCTCTTCTTATAGCCGTGCTAACACACTTGGCTGTTAAATTTAGGGGGTTGACGCAAGAAAAAAGACGCTCATTGTTGACAATCTCTCTTCTCAAGCCGGAATATCAGACATGTAATTTGCACCTTTAATTCCCTCTTTCGTTCTTGGAGCAAGTTTTTCATGACTAACATGTGATCCTCCCTTTTCACAGTATCAATTTCTTCGAAGATGTTGGAAAAGTTGTTCAAGTTACAAGAGTTGTAGACCACATGGGCTTGGATCTTGGCTCTGGCTCTGTTGAGTTTGCTTCTGCCAACGAAGCAAAGAAGGTGAGAGTAGTGCGACTTTTATGAAATTTATACCAGTAGTTATTTTCGCAGTCATTAGGAAAGTAGTGCGACTTTTATGAAATTTATACAAGTAGTTATTTGAAATTACCTTTTGCTGATCAAATCTCTTTTGCACTTCAGGCGCAGGAAATAAAGAATGGTGACTATTTGTGTGGTGAGAAAATTACTCTGGGCTTGGCTAAGATAACCCCATACCCTCATACTCCAAGGTAGATTGATTTTTCATGTTTTGGAGATTTGTTTCTCTAACTTATTACTGGAGTTTTGATGCCACTGCGGATCATTAACGCATCTGTTTTTGTTCAGGTTTTGCTTAGAACACAAGGTTTGGTAAGTGATTTAGCTACTTGCCACATGAGTTTGTTATCAAGAGTACACTAGTTGAAGTTTCTGATATACATGGAGAGCTCACAAGGGTTTTGGAATTTCCAGGTACGAAGACTACATTCGACGAGAAAGCTTACCGATAGGAGAAGAGGAGATACATCCTCATTCTTTTAAGGTACCTACTCTTAGTATTATCATCATCATCATCATCTTCATCTTCAGTATATGTCGGGCTCAGAAGAGACGCTTAGCTATTAATATGCAAACTGTTGTTGCAAAGTTGTAAGATGACTTGCTCTCAGGATGAATCTGAATCTCTAGTTGAGTATACTCTTTTTTTCTATGCAATTTAAGTCTGTTTTCTTCTCAGAGTTGTGTACTAACACCCTTGGAATTTAATTTCAGGCAATTGCAGCAAGAAAAAAGACGATCTTTGTTGCCAATCTCTCTCCCCAAACTAGAATGTTCAATATGTACGTAACACGTTGGAGATTGTTCTCGGTGCAAGTTTTTCATGACTGATATTTTATCTTCCATTTCTACAGCATCAAGTTCTTCAAAACTGTTGGGGCTGTTTCTAGTGTTCGACTTATTGTAAACCACGAGGGCAAGCATGTTGGTTTTTGCTTTGTTGACTTTGCTGATGATTACGATGCAAAGATGGTGAGAGTAGTTTTTTTTACCAATGATGAAAAAAGTATCAAAGACATTTAAACAGTGTATACCTTTGATGAAAAATATACTATTTTTTGGAAGTATGATAACTGATTAAATCTTACGTAGTGTAGGCGCTGGAAGAGTGGAATGGTGAATATTTGCACGATCATAGCATTTTTCTTGAAGGGGCTAAGACAGCTCCGTCCTCTCCACGGCCCAAGTAAATTAATTTTCCATGTTATGGAGATTTGCTAATGTAACAGTGGTTGTAAGTTATTGCTAGAGTTTTGATGCCATTACAAAAGACCAATTATATTATTTTTGTTGGTCAGGTACAGCGTTGCTGAGAAGCTTTGGTAAAGGATTTAACTACTTGCCTCATTAGTTCGTTACCAATTGCACTTCGGGTGATGTTTTTGTGGTACATGGAGAGATCACTAGGGTTTTTTGATATTCCAGGTACGAAGACAACCTTCTGCAAAAAAGCCTTGACGAGTCACAAGAAGGAAATGATAAAACTCCCAATGATGTTGAGGTACCTGTTCTTGTTCCTTCAAATTGTGTGGAGATCAGAATAAATGCCTAGTGCTGTTGCCACAGAGATGACTAATTATGGGGATGAATCTTTAGATGTGTCTCTTTTTTCTTGCCCTTTTATATAGTCATGCACTCATGCTAACACACTTGACTGTTAAATTCAGGTAGTTGCCCTAAGGGAAAAGACGCTCTTTATTGACAATCTCTTTTGGAAAACCAAAATATCAGACATGTAAATAGCTCCTTGAATTTCCTCTTGTTCTTGGAGCCAGTTTTTCATTACTAATTTTTTATCCTCTATTTTTACAGCATCAATTTCTTCAAAGATGTTGGAGAGGTTGTTCATGTTCGACTTGTTGAAGACACAAAGGGTAAGCATTTGGGCTATGGTTTTGTTCAGTTTGCCTCTGCGGACAAAGCCAAGGTGAGAATAGTTTTGTAGTAATGATGAAATGTATTTTTAATGGTCATTTGAAAGTAGTGTATACAAAATTACACAAGTAGTTCTTTGTAAGTACCAATGTTGATTAAATGTGTTATATTGCAGGCGCGGGAAAAGAAGAGTGGTGACAAGTTGTGCGGTAATTATATCACTCTTGGCGTGGCTGAGATAGCCCCAGACGAACCACGACCCATGTAAATTGATTTTCCATGTTATGGAGATTTGTATCTGTAACTTACTGCTTGAGTTTTGATGCCACTACTGAAGAATGATGCTATTATTTTTGTTAATTAGGTATTGCATCGATCACAAGGTTTGGTAAGAGCTATAACTATTTTCTTCTTAAGCTTTGTTATCAAGAGCGCATTGGATGAAGTTTTTGGGGTTTTTATATTCAGGTACGAAGACTACCTTCGAGGAGAAAGCCTTCTGATAGAAGAAGATGAGGCAGTAGAAGGACTTGATGAATTTGTTGAGGTAGCTGTTATTATCTCTTCAAATTAGAAGAAACACTTGGCGTTTAATCACAGAACTGTTGCTATAAATTCGAAAGATGCCTTATTCTGGAGATGAATCCTGCATTTATTGAAATGCAATTTAAGTCTTTTTCTACTTAGAGTCGTGCTAACACATTTGGATGTTAAATTCAGGAAGCATATGTGAGAAATAAGACACTATTTATGGACAATCTTCCTGTTGAAGCTAATATAGGAGATTTGTAAGTAGCACCTTTTATTGATTTTGTTCTTAGAGGTATTTTTCCAAGGCTGATAGTTTATCTTCCATTTATACAGTGCCCGATTCTTCGAAGATGTTGGAAAAGTTAGTGTTCGACTTATTGTAGATTGTGAGGGAGAATATGTGGGCTGTGGCTTTGCTAAGTTTGCTTCTGCTGTCGAAGCAAAGATGGTGAGAGTAGTTTTGTGGTAATGGTGAAAAGTATGTAAGTAGTCATTTGGAAAGTAGTTATTTGGAAGTACGATCGCTCATTAAATCTTACATACGGCAGGCACTGAAAAAGAAGTGTCGAAAAAGATACCGCGGTCGTTTTATTTATCTCGGCATGGTTGGGATAGCACCGTACCCTCTCCGACCCAAGTAAATTATTTCGTCTACATTATGGACATTTGTTTATCTTACTTGTTTTTTTTATAAAATGTCATTTCATAAATTTAATGTGATTATATTTGTTAATTAGGTACAAGCTTGCAGAGTTGCTTTGGTATGGGATTTAACTATTTTCCTTTTGAGTTTTGTTATCAAGAGCTCTTTGGGTGAAATGTCTTGGTTTACATGGAGAGATCACAAGGGGTTTTATATTCCAGGAACGAAGACTTCTCACAGAAAGAACGCATTCGGGTAGAAGAAAATAATAAGAAGAAACATCATTGTGGTAAGAAGGTTACTTTCCCTGAGAGTGATGATGATTCATAGAGGAAGATGAATCTCTTTGGTGTTTTAAACTTATGGTGTAGTTAGTATGCGCTAAAATGTGCTTAATTTTGAATGTTTTGATGTGAAATCTTAACCAGCCTTGATTAATTTGGTTGACAAAATTTCAAGTTTAGTCTCTTAGCTTGATAAATACACAGTACTCCGTATTTGTCCACATAGAACATAATTGTTGGTGTATAGTGAAGCCCATGAGAGAATTTATGGTTGGTGTATAATGAAGCTAAAACCATATCGAGTTATTTCTCAAATAGTAATATTAAATTGGACAAAGTACCGTAGAGATCCCTAAACTATTTAATAATATTCAAATTAGTCCAATGAAAATAATGAAATCAATTTAGTCTCGATTGTATTTATTTTTGTTCAAAGAGGTCATTCTCTTCGCTTATCTCTTATGTATTGCTCTGATCTTTTAATGATGACATCAAATTTTGTTATAGAAGACAGGGAAATATTGTTTAATACTCTCTCCGTCTCTTAAGATGTTCTTATTTTGACTTTTGGTGGTTTTTAAGGAGAGTTGAAAAAAGAGAAAGTTTACCATTATACTCTTAATGAAAATGGGTGGAGTGTATTAAATGAGGTGAGTGAGGTGTAATAAATAAAGGAAGTGGGTGTAGTTGTGGTATTTTAATTGTTAAAAAATGAAATGAGAAGATTTATTGTGGACAAAAAAAAGGGTTATTGAAAAGATATATGGGGGACGGAGGGAGTATAACAATTCATACTTTAAATCTTATTTAAGTCAGAATATAATAAATTATATTATTACTATTTTTTTTCATAAAAGAAAATAAACAAATAAAATGCATTTTAAAATACGTTTTTTTAAGAATGAGAATGAATTACGGAGTAATTTGCAATGAGACGAATCACATCATAAGACAAATATTTCACGCATATTGCAATAGCAATATCGGGTCTCACCAACTAATAAGCTTACACGGAGATCTACCTTTGAAGGCAAGAAAGCAAAATCAAAATGTGTATAGTTCAAGTATATATATTTATGCCATTTTTTTGTACAACGTTGTTTATGCTAAAATGTGTAAATTCGGTCAATTTTATGTTTTGAATGTTTTTTCATGTTAATATTGATGTTTTGTGATTAAAAATAGAGTTTTTTTTAGTTTCATTGTCAACATCATGATTCACTAACGATGATTAAAGTGCAACATTTTTATTACTTAAAATTGAACCAAAATGGTTTAAAATTGAAACGAAGGAAGTAATGTATAATATTGAAACGGAGGAAGTATTGTAAAATTGAAACAATGATTAAAATTCAACATTTTACAGTACTCAGAGCTATTGTATAATATTTCTGTTGAATTTTTCTTGAGAGAATAGTATCCCTTCATATATGAAGTAACTCGATTTCTAGAATTAAGCATGTTTTAACGTACAATTAACTTGACCATAACTTAAAAACACCAAAGAGATTCGTCTTCTTATATCAATCATCGTCGTAAGAGAAGGTAATCTTCTTTGCACAAAACTCCTCCCTTTCCTCTTCTATCCAAAGGCATTCTGGTGGAAAGTAGTGTTTGAACTTGGAATATCAAAAACCCCTGTCATCTATGTCAAAAAGTTCAAATGATGTGCTATTGACAACAAAACTCAAAAAAGTAGCCTTACTGGCAGATTCATCCACATAAAGAGTCATCTTTGTTGCATCGGTTCTGTTACATCTTCAGCAAATGTCATCCAATCAAAACCTAAATAAATGAATAAATCATGATTCACAAATAAGATTGGAGTAGCGCAGATAAGTTTTTTTTACAAAAAAAGAACATTAGAGAAGAGAGACTCACCCAATAAATCAGCTTTGTCAGCCGGATTCATGGTAGAAGAAGAAGTTGGCATGATGCGATGGAGAAGATGATGATATCAGAGATCTGATAAAGAGTTGAGGCTTTAGCAGCTTCCGATGGGCGGGAGCGAAGGAGCAGAAAGCCCAAAAGGAATTTTGTTTTTTTATGGGCTTTTATAAGTTGGGTAGGGTTGTGCTTTTAGGTCATATTTATATTATGGGCATGTTTGAGAATAGCTTTAACGATTAACGTTAGCGTTTTCAAAAGGCTATCTATGAGCAGCGTTTAGTGTTAGCGTTTTTAAATTAATCTGCACCGTTAAAAATTATCCAAAACGCTAACGCTAATCGCTAATGCTATTCCCAAATAGGCCATATATAAATAAACATAAATATGAATAATTTTATACCAAATTATAGGTAATTGACTTGAGTCAACCCGGTTGATCCTTGTCCCAGTTGCTAGTTCGTTATGACGTCTAATTCGATTTTCAAAATATTGTCGAATATCTATATCCGTTAATAAATATTCATGTAATTATAAAAAGAATGAGAAAGTGAATGTTGAAATTCGAACAACGTCAAATACATAAAAAACTACCATATAAGTAATAAATACTTGACAAAAATATAAATTTATAATCGACCAAGTACTTTGTGGAAGTAATGAGACAAGTATTAAAGTATAATGGGCTGGATAAAATATTATAAATATTAAAATAATTAATTTCGTATTCGGAGAAATGAATTTTCGAATAAAACGATTATCTAAGCGAAAATATATTCGGATCGAATTTTAAACAGATCAGATATCGAATTATCAAATTCATATTTCTTGAGTATTGGATGTCCTTAACTGAATAAAGATACTACCCATTTAAAAGATAGTAAAATTTGCACTAAATAAGACTAAAATATAATGACTTTTCGAATGTAGAATTTTAATTTTTTTATTCCCAAAATAGGAATTAATAATGACCTCGTGGGAGGAATAATGTCTAGTAATGATGAACATTTATTTTAATAATGACTACTCGATAATGACCAAAAGTCCTGGGAAATAAAAACATATAAATGTAAATAATACTCCCTCCGTCCTCCTAAGATGTTCTCATTTTGACTTTTGGTGATTTTTAAGGAGAGTTGAAAAAAGGTGAAAGTGTACCATAGTACCCTTAATGAAAATGGGTGGAGTGTATTAAATGAGGTGGGTGAGGTGTAATAAATAAAGTAAGTGGGGGCAGTTGTGGTATTTTAATTGTTAAAAAATGAAATGAGAAGATCTATTGTGCACAAAAAAAAGGGCTATTGGGAAGATATATTGGGGCGGGAGGAGTAAATTTCTCGATAGTAAATAGGGAGTACTAATATCTGACCCCGCTGCGGCTTGCTCCCGGGAGAAAACCAATGGCTCATCTCGTCCCGGCAAATAAACCATCTCCGCACGCTCTTGTTTGCGATTGCAGGAAACGAAGGGCTCAACTCTTCCCAGCAAATAATTGAAATAAACCATCTCTGGTCTCATATTCTCCATTGATAGAAGTTCTAGCATGAAATCGGCCGAAATAACTAATTTATTCGGTGATTCTCTCTTATCTTATAAACTATCTCTCATGATTTATTTATATATTTAGGTTTAGATTAAACGGCCATTGCTGAAGATGTATTTGATTCTCTTTCTCTTGCTGCTCTTCTTTTAGGTAAGCGGAAGCTAGAGCCAAAATTTGAGTCCGAGGAGAAGGTAACAGTCCCGTTCCTCTCGTTCATTGAGAACAATTTTCTTTACACTCTGCTATAATGGCTACTCGTAACAGACTCTGAAGAAACCTAAGGAACGCTCCGAGGAGGAGGAGGAGGAGGAGAAGGTAACGGTCCGATTCTTCTTCTTCTTTGAGAACAGTTTTCTTTATATTCTCTTAGTTCTAATGGCTACTCGTATCAGGATACAACTCAAGGATTTGCTGATAATCTCCTTCCAGAGGTCGAAGGAAGGGTCGAGTTGTTGGAGACAAAGTCTGAGGCTAATTTAATTCCAGTCATGGTATTATTTTTGTATTTTCAAATACTCCGTATTGTATTGGTTGTCAGATATTCAATTGAGCATCTTGTTCTGTCCATCGTGTGTTCCAATGGGGCTACTCATCATGTAACAGGAGACAGTGGAAGGACTTGATGAAACTCCCCATTTTGTTGAGGTGCCTGTTCTTATCATCTCTTCATATAATCCTGTTTATGTTTAGCTTTAGTGCCACCACAAAGATGACTCGTTACGGGGATGAATCTGCAGGTGGTGCTACTTTTTGCTACTATGCAGTTCAAGTCCTCTTCTCCTTATAGCCGTGCTAACACACTTGGTTGTTAAATTTAGGGGGTTGACATAAGAAAAAAGACGCTCATTGTTGACAATCTCTCTTCTCAAGCCGGAATATCAGACATGTAATTTGCACCTTTAATTCCCTCTTTCGTTCTTGGAGCAAGTTTTTCATGACTAACATGTGATCCTCCCTTTTCACAGTATCAATTTCTTCGAAGATGTTGGAAAAGTTGTTCAAGTTACAAGAGTTGTAGACCACATGGGCTTGGATCTTGGCTCTGGCTCTGTTGAGTTTGCTTCTGCCAACGAAGCAAAGAAGGTGAGAGTAGTGCGACTTTTATGAAATTTATACCAGTAGTTATTTTCGCAGTCATTAGGAAAGTAGTGCGACTTTTATGAAATTTATACAAGTAGTTATTTGAAATTACCTTTTGCTGATCAAATCTCTTTTGCACTTCAGGCGCAGGATAAGAAGAATGGTGACTATTTGTGTGGTGAGAAAATTACTCTGGGCTTGGCTAAGATAACCCCGGCTAAGATAACCCCATACCCTCATATTCCCAGGTAGATTGATTTTTCATGTTTTGGATATTTGTTTCTATAACTTATTGCTGGAGTTTTGATGCCACTGTAGATCATTAATGCATCTGTTTTTGTTAATCAGGTTTTGCTTAGAACACAAGGTTTGGTAAGTGATTTAGCTACTTGCCACATGAGTTCGTTATCAAGATTACAGTAGTTGAAGTTTCTGATATGCATGGAGAGCTCACAAGGGTTTTTGAAATTCCAGGTATGAAGACTACATTCGACGAGAAAGCTTTCCGATAGGAGAAGAGGAGATACCTCCCCATTTTTTAAAGGTACCTACTCTTAGTATCATCATCATCATCATCTTCATCTTCATTATATGTCTGGCTCAGAAGAGACGCTTAGCTTTTAATATCCAAACTGTTGTTGCAAAGTTGTAAGATGACTTGCTCTCAGAATGAATCTGAATCTCTAGATGAGTATACTTTTTTTTGCAATGCAATTGAAGTCTGTTTTCTTCTTAGAGTCATGTACTAACACCCTTGGAAATTAATTTCAGGCAATTGAAACAAGAAAAAAGACGATCTTTGTTGCCAATCTCTCTCCCCAAACTAGAATGTTCAATATGTACGTAACACCTTGGAGATTGTTCTCGGTGCAAGTTTTTCATGACTGATATTTTATCTTCCATTTCTACAGCCTCAAGTTCTTCGAAACCGTTGGGAAGATTTTTAGTGTTCGACTTATTGTAAACCACGAGGGCAAGCATGTTGGTTTTTGCTTTGTTGACTTTGATGATGATTACGATGCAAAGATGGTGAGAGTAGTTTTTTTATACCAATGATGACAAAAGTATCAAAGGAATTTAAACCGTGTATACTTTTGATGAAAAATATGCTAGTTTTTTGAAAGTATGATAACTGATTAAATCTTACGTACTGTAGGCGCTGGAAGAGTGGAATGGTGAATATTTGCACGATCATAGCATTTTTCTTGAAGGGGCTAAGACAGCTCCGTCCTCTCCACGGCCCAAGTAAATTAATTTTCCATGTTATAGAGATTTGCTAATGTAATAGTGGTTGTAAGTTATTGCTAGAGTTTTGACGCCATTACAGAAGATCAATTATATTATTTTTGTTGGTCAGGTACAGCATTGCAGAGAAGCTTTGGTAAAGGATTTAACTACTTGCCTCATCAGTTCGTTACCAAGTGCACTTTGGGTGAAGTTTTTGTGGTACATGGAGAGATCACAAGGGTTTTTTGATATTCCAGGTACAAGGACAACCTTCTGCAAAAAAGCCTTGATGAGACACAAAAAGGAAATGATAAAACTCCCAATGATGTTGAGGTACCTGTTCTTCTTCCTTCAAATTGTGTGGAGATCAGAAGAAACACCTAGTGCTGTTGCCACAGAGATGACTAATTATGGGGATGAATCTTTAAATGAGTCTCTTTTTTTGTTTTCCTTTTCTATAGTCATGCTAACACACTTGGCTATTAAATTCAGGTAGTTGCCCTAAGGGAAAAGACGCTCTTTATTGACAATCTCTCTTTCGAAACCAAAATATCAGACATGTAAATAGCTCCTTCAATTTCCTCTTTGGTTCTTGGAGCCAGTTTTTAATGACTAATTTTTTATCCTCTATTTTTACAGCATCAATTTCTTCAAAGATGTTGGAGAGGTTGTTCATGTTCGACTTGTTGTAGACAGAAAGGGTAAGCATTTGGGTTATGGTTTTGTTCAGTTTGCTTCTGTGGACCAAGCCAAGAAGGTGAGAATAGTTTTGTAGTAATGATGAAATGTATTTTCAATAGTCATTTGAAAGTAGTGTATACAAAATTACACTAGTTCTTTGTAAGTACCAATGTTGATTAAATGTGTTATATTGCAGGCGCGGGAAAAGAAGAGTGGTGAAAAGTTGTGCGGTAATTATATCACTCTTGGCTTGGCTGAGATAGCACCAGAGGAACCACGACCCATGTAAATTGATTTTCCATGTTATGGAGATTTGTATCTGTAACTTACTGCTTGAGTTTTGATGCCACTACTGAAGACTGATGCTGTTATTTTTGTTAATTAGGTGTTGCATAGATCACAAGGTTTGGTAAGAGTTATGAATATTTGCTTCGTAAGCTTGTTATCAAGAGCACATTGGATGAGGTTTTTGGGATAGATGGAGAGACCACAAGGGTTTTTGATATTCCAGGTATGAAGACTACCTTCGAGGAGAAAGCCTTCTGATAGAAGAAGATGAGGCAGTGGAAGGACTTGATGAATTTGTTGAGGTACCTGTTATTATCTCTTCAAATTAGAAGAAACACTTGGCGTTTAATCACAGAACTGTTGCTATAAATTCGAAAGATGACTTATTCTGTACATGAATCCTGCATTTGTGTTTTTGCAGTTTAAGTCTTTTTCTCCTTAGAGTCGTGCTAACACATTTGGTTGTTAAATTCAGGAAGCATCGGTGAGAAATAAGACACTATTTATGGACAATCTTCCTGTTGAAGCTAAAATTGGAGATATGTAAGTAGCACCTTTTATTGATTTCGTTCTTAGAGGTAGTTTTCCAAGACTGATATTTTATCTTCCATTTATACAGTGCCCGTTTCTTCCAAGATGTTGGAAAAGTTAGTGTTGGACTTATTGTAGATTGTGAGGGAGAATATGTGGGCTGTGGCTTTGCTAAGTTTGCTTCTGCCTTCGAAGCAAAGAAGGTGAGAGTAGTTTTGTGGTTATGGTGAAAAGTATGTAAGTAGTCATTTGGAAGAGTAAATTCCATAATTGGTCCTTTATAACAGAGGGTTTCCATATTTAGTCCTCTATTATCAAATATTATTGCCTTTCCACAAATGGTCCTTTTTTTGATCTTCTGCCGTGTTGGTGTTAATTTAAAGGCTAAAAATATAATTTGATGTCAACATTATGTCTAGTGACGTGTTCTGATATTGGTTAAGCGGATAACACAAAAATAATGACTATGATTGTGGGCTAGGATTCTGACGAAAGATCACATTTGTAGACTATAGTTATCGTAAAAAGCGACTGTAATTCACAAACGACGCAAACAGAAAAGCCGTTGAAATTGTGTATGACAAAAAAGATATATTATCATTGTGAAATTACACTTTTAGCCCTCAAATTAATACCGACATGATAGAAGATAAAAAAAAAGGACTATTTGTGGAAAGGTACCCATAAAAGGACCATTTGGGTAATATTTGATAATAGAGGACTAAATAGGGAAACCCCCCTGTTATAAAGGACCAATTATAGAATTTACTCCATTTGGAAAGTAGTTATTTGAAGGTATGATCGCTCATTAAATCTTACATACGGCAGGCGCTGAGAAAGAAGAAGCAAAAACAATACCGCGGTTGTTTTATTTATCTCGGCATGGTTGAGATAGCACCGTACCCTCTCCGACCCAAGTAAATTATTTCGTCAACATTATGGACATTTGTTTATCTTACTCGATTTTTTTAAATAAAATGTCATTTCATTTCATAAATTTAATGTGATTATATGTGTTAATTAGGTACAACCTCGCAGAGATGCTTTGGTATGAGATCTAACAATTTTCCTCTTGAGTTCTGTTATCAAGAGCACTTTGGGTGAAACTTTTTGGTTTACATGGAGAGATCACAAGAGGTTTTATATTCCAGGAACGAAGATTTCTCGCAGAAAGAATGCATTTGGGTAGAAGAAAATAATAAGAAATATCATTGTGGTAAGAAGGTTACTTTCTCTGAGAGTGATGATGATTCATAGAGGAAGATTCATAGAGGAAGAAACATGGAGAGATCAAATGGGAAGATGAATCTCTTAGGTGGTTTTTATGAATCGTCCTCTATAAATCATCATCACTCTCAGGGAAAGTAACTTTCTTATAACAATGATGTTTCTTATTATTTTCTTTTACTCGAATGCCTTCTTTATGTTAGAAATCTTTCGTTCCTAGAATATAAAACTCCTTGTGATCTCTCCATGTAAACCAAAAAATTTCACCCAAAGTGCTCTTGATAACAAAACTCAAGAGGAAAATTGTTAAATCCCATACCAAAGCATCTCTGCGAGGTTGTACCTAATTAACACATATAATTACATTAAATTTATGAAATGACATTTTATTTAAAAAATCGAGGGTAGATAAACAAATGTCCATAATGTTGACGAAATAATTTACTTGGGTCGGAGAGGGTACGATGCTATCTCAACCATGCCGAGATAAATAAAACAACCGCGGTATCGTTTTTGCTTCTTCTTTTTCAGCGCCTACCGTATGTAAGACTTTCATCACTTCTATGAATCTCAGATGATGCAACAATGACAGATCCTTGTAGAAGATATAAGGTACCATGCTTAATACCTTTCAGAACTACTTTCGAATCCTTGTAGAAACTCATAACTCCACCTTTACCTTCAAAACTGAAACCATTACTATCAATACGAGTCAAGGATATCAGATTCTTCATCATCTGTGGGACATGCCTAACTTTATTCAAGGTGCAAAATGTACCATCACGAGTCCTCAACTTGATGGAGCCTAATCCAACTACCTTGCAGACAACTCTGTTGGCCATGGAAACATCACCCTCGTTTATCTGCTCATAAGTTGAAAACAACTCCCTATATGAACTAATATGATACGACACCCCAGAATCAAGAACCTACATATCCTTACAATGTGTTTGGTTATTGACAAATAGAACCAGATCTTCTTCAGTGTTTATATCATAAGCTTCTGCCATAGTTGCAGAATCGTGAGCATCCTCGATCTTGTCCTTTTTCTGCATCTTCTGTTTAGGACAATCAAACTTCCAATGCCCTGGTTCTTTACAATAGTTGCAGATGTCACTGGGCTTAAGACCTTTTGAACCTTTAAAGTTTGGCTTCTTTCCAAAGGTCTTCTGTCCCTTACCCGTAACAGATAGTCCTGATGCCTGATTTTCTATTCCCGAATTAGTTGCCTGTAGACGACATGAAGATGGCTTCTTCTTTCCAAAGGTCTACACTTTCATTTGCAATCATACATAGAAACGACATACGATGTAGCAAAAAAACTGCGACAATGAAGATGGCTGTAAAGGCAATAAATAAAGCAAGAAAAAGTGCGTAGAAGATCCAAGGTGCAAAAATGAATAAGATCAAAACTTGGATATATACAAACCACATCAAAGAGAAATACAATTTTTAATTTGTAACTATTTATATTTTGTTAGAACATCTTGTATTGATCAGTATGCTACTATGCGTTTGAATGATTTTGTATTTTAAAGCAAAAAATAATAAAATTAATAAAAAATAGTAATTTTATTGTAAATTTTCCTTCAGAAATCAACCAAAAATAGAAGTAAAAAATATTACAAAATAAGAGTTACATATTTTTATCTACGAAATGGCACTATTGCAATATAACGTGACATTGTAAATTGACATTTCATTGTAATTTTTGTATTATATGTTTGTCTTATTGATATTATAGTTTTTATTTTGTAGATAAAACAAAAAGATTCTATTTTGGTTGTTTTCTTATATTTTATTTCTATGATCTTTCTCTTTTTCCCTTGAGAATCATTGTAGCGCTACTTTTTATTAATACTCCCTCTGTTCTAAAACTTTCTTCCCGGTTTGCAAAACAAAGAAAAATCTTAAATTTTTTCAATCTATTTTATTTAAATATTGGTATAGAAATAAAAAATAAAACATACATATTTAAAAACTACATCAAAAGTTCAACAAAACAAGTGGTAATAAGAATATTTTATTTTATCATATAGGCCATAAAAAACACAAATAAATATAAATTCCTGCGAAGTTGGAATAGTGCTCCGGGAAGAAAGTTTTAGGACGGATGAGGTATATTTTTTCAAAATTGATGCAAGGGAGAAGAATTGTTGTATTTTAATTTTTTTTCAAATGAATATTTTTAATAGTAGAGTCATAGGATCGCTAATCCAATATTTTATTTTTAAATAATGCAGTAGTGAATGCAGGGGTGAGGAATTTTTTTTTGCTAATATCAATTAATGTAGGGGAGAAAAATCATGTTTTTGAATGATAGAATTATAAGATCATTAATTCAAGCTTTTTAAAATATAGGATAAGGAAAAGATTCATAGAATCACTACTATTTTGTGTTCTTTTAAAGTCATTTTTAATACCCCTCTTTAACCCTATTTTATCACATTACATCTCTAATCACCTTTTACTTTATTCAATCAAAAATTAAACGAGAATCGTGCATGAACCATCACCTGCTACGCGACATATTGCAACCTAAGTATATATTTTCTCCGTCACTATGTATGTATATATCCTGGCCGACCCGCGCGCCAGATATTTAAGTATACGGTGTGGGAGCTGAGGACATGAATTAGCACGCTACTTTTTCTTTCCTTACTCCTAGTGCTATTGTGTAGCCAACACAACTTATTATCAACCTAGCGTCATCTTTTTGCATTGTATAAACATAGAGAGTATTTAATTTACACATCCTTTGAAATAGATTGAATTTAAAATTCTAAAATTTTATTTCATTTTGTGTAATATAATGTGATTTTCTTTTCGTCTCAAAGGTAATGTGACATAGAAACAAGAAAACTTTTGATTATTTAACTTACAAACTATCTTTCAATTAATCTCCATCTCCGATCCATGACCATGTTGTCGCATTCCCATTTAATTTCTCATGTTTGTGTGGTCACAGCGTAACACATATTGACCAATAAAGTCATACATTGATTTTCGTCGGAGAGTCTCTGGTAATAATGTTACCATGGAAAAAAACTGTCAGAAAAGAAGGAATTGAGACTTGACTTGAACCAAGAACATCCAGAATTCTGCGTGACAAGGCCCGACTCTTTTAACGGAAGTGTTTATGATTTTTTCTTCGATATATCGAATGTGTTGCAGTCTATTTCGTGTAAATATTGTTTTTTGGACTATTATAATTTATATCTATATATAAATTGCAGAACGTTAAAAGCCCAACGGAAGAATAATATATGAACTGCTGATACATCATTTTCATTGTTGAGTAGATAACTTTTCTTCAAAGATTTCTTCTAGTTTGTGGTGAGATATATATATATAGCTAGGCTATTGTTTCACACTAGGACTAGACTAAAGAAGGCCATATATGTAGCTAGACGTAGACTCTTTTTTTATAGAAAATCTTGAGTGAATCAGACATCTTTGTATACCCTTCTAGATCTATATCATTTTCAACCACTCATTATTGCATTTCTTATATTTTGTGTCGGGTCAAATTGGTAATTTTTTTTCCAAATTAAATTGAAAATATAGTTGATCTAGCATTGTAACGCGGAATGAAAAATATATATTCAAATGGGACGGATGGAGTACTGTACCGTTTATTATAAAAATTTATATTATGATACCACGGGATAACATTATTTATTACTCCCTCCGTCCGAAAATATTCTTCCCATTTTCTTTTTTGGTCCGTCTGGAAATAATCTTCCCATTTCCTTTTTTAGTATGCTTTTTAAGGCTAAATATCAGTAATACCATTCTATTTTATCACAAATCTACTTTTTAATACTTTTTTAATAATAAAAGGAGATTTAAAAGTTTATAGTATGTGCATTTTTTGAAAATGTTGCATTTTTTTTATTATTCTTTAATAAGCGTGCCAAGTCAACACGAGAAAAATATTTTCGAACGGAGGGAGTAATTCTTTCCGTGCTGAAAAAGAATCTCATCTTTTATTTATTTATTTAATGAGATGTCCCTAAAAGAGACTCCTCCTTTTTCTTTCTTTTTTTTCTTTTGAAAACACTTTTATGGACTCCCTTTTTTTCTGAATATTGTGTCCAGTCATACTAAGACATTTTGAACCATGTTGAACGAATTTTTTGAATCGAGCCGGTCTTCCCCGAGTTTCATACCCACCAAACGGAACAATTCAAAAGGTTCTTGGTCAAAGCACATCTATACAATTAATTCGAAGTTGACCTTAATTGATTCAGACTCATTTTAGAATATCCGATTTAGAAAACTTGGATTTCAATATTGCTCATTATAAACCCAAACAATCCAAACTCGACAAAGGGTTCGTTACTCTGGGTATTATGCATACATTTTGTATTTACAAATGCATTGAATAGAATGCTCTTATCTATTACGTAGTAGTTCGGTAACAATCTCCTCTGGGATCTTGCTTGGATCATCACGTCGCTATATCATTCATTGATATAAAAGCAACAATTTTTTTTGGGAAACATCAATTAAAAACATTTTGTTAGAATTTCAAAGCCTCGCATACCAAGATTTTCATCGCGCTAGCTTGCATCTCAAAAAGCTTGACACATCCATTATCCCAAAGTATAAAAAGAAGCACTATCTGAAGTATTGTCTAAAACACATACGCTAACCTTAGCTTGTGCCTAATAAATACTCCCTCCGTTTTATAAAAGTGTTCCTATTTTGACTTTGTCTAAAAATAAGGAAGTGTTAAATTGTAGTTGACTTCCAATGTTGCTCTTGATGCAATAGGTAAAAGTAAGATGTGATGGATTAAGCATTAGAAAAAAAGTATGATGTGATAGGTAGGATATGAAAAAGTAAGGGTAAAAGTAATTTTTAATAGAAAATGGAAGTGTTTTTTTGGAAGCAAAAAAATGAAAGAAGAAGAGTTTTTAAGAACGGAGGGAGTAAAATATACATTTTTATTAAACTGTTAAAATGTTGTAAATTTATTTAATTAAAAAGAATATAAATGATACAACCTATATACTTCATCAGATAATATCTTTTGCATTTCTTGCATTTAAATGGCGAACCATTTGGAGCAATTTTACTCTTGCATGTCTTTCAACCAAGGTAGCACCATTTAGCTCTATTTCCAATCTCAACCACATCATCAATTATCCAATAATGTCAAATAATAATAAAAATATTATTAAGGATAATTTGAATAAACATTCCTCTTTAATTCATATATTGTACGTAACTCTTACACCTAGCATTAAGGTTTGAAACATTTGTATGCTTTGTGATTTACATTTTTTGGCTCCAGGAGATTTTCTCCAATTGTATCTTTAGTTGTGCTCTAAAACGAGATAGACCAAGACGTCCCCTAGGTTGTAGACTAGAGTCTGGCGTCTAGATGTCCTTAGGTCTAGATCGATCAAAGCTCGAAAACAATTAAGCATAATTATTTGTAGAGAAGGCCTGGCTAGTTTCTAGAAGAGGGCTTTCATAAGAAATTTTAGTAGTGACTCATCATGAATAACGTCATTAATGTGTTTTATCCAACTGTTATCATAAAACACTCGCTCCCAAACTTTTTTTCCATAAGGAATTTTAGTGACTCATCATGAATTGGTTGTACTCTATATACTTCATTGACAAATATGTATGCTTGGACTTTCACGTCACTTTACATTGTTAATGTGTTTTATCCAACTCTTATCATAAAATACTCGCTCCAGAACCTTTTTTTCATAAGAAATTTTAATTTAGTGACTCATCATGAATTGGTTGTACTCTATATACTTCATTGACAAATATGTATGCTCGGACTATCACGTCACTTTACGTCGTTAATGTGTTTTATCTATCCAACTATTATCATAATATACTCGCTCCAGAACTTTTTTTCATAAAGGAATTTTAGTGACTCATCATGAATTGGTTGTACTCTATATACTTCATTGACAAATATGTATGCTTGGACTTTCATGTCACTTTACGTCGTTAATGTGTTTTATCCAACTGTTATCATAAAACACTCGCTCTAGAACTTTTTTTCATAAGGAATTTTAGTGACTCATCATGAATTGGTTGTACTCTATATACTTCATTGACAAATATGTACGCTCGGACTTTCACGTCACTTTACGTCGTTAATGTGTTTTATCCAACTGTTATCATAAAATACTCGTTCCCGAACTTTTTTTAAAAGCTGACTCTTTATGATTTTCAAGAAGATTTAAATATTAAAAATATATTAAATTACCCTTAACAAAAAATTGTGGAGTAGATTATTAGTCACAACATAGCAACAGAAAAGTGCACCGTTTCATAAGATCTACTATTTTCAAATTTAGTCTCAGCTTGATTGGACAAGTTAGCTTGATTAATACAAAGTACTCCGTAAATTTTCGCGCACAGTGAAGCTCAAATGCTAATACTAAAAGAGAAAAGTGCACCGTTTACCCTCGAATTCTATGAA